AAATAGAACACTTCCTAGTGCTACCTTTCATTACTGAGTTTTTAAAAAATATTTTATTTATTTATTTTTAGAGAGAGGGGAAGAGAAGGAGAAAGAGTGGGAGAGAAACATCCATGTGTGGTTGCCTCTCGAGCGCCCCCTACTGGGGACCTGGCCTGCAACCCAGGCATGTGCCCTGACTGGGAATCGAACCTGCGAATCTTTGCTTCATAGGCCTGTGCTCAATCCACTGAGCTACACCAGCCAGGGCAAGGTTTGTTTTTTTTGTGTTTTTTGTAGTTTGAGGTCGTATATGACCAGGACACATACAGCTGCGATACATCATAAATTCCAGTGCAATCTTCTCTAGTTATACTATTTCTTATATTCCCTTCTCTTATGGAAGGCTTCCAGCTGTCTCTTTGGGCAAAACATTTGAAAAAAAACTATTAATATTCCTTGGAGAAGAGGAAATGTTTTCCTGCTGCCTGATGGGAGAGAGAAGCGGCCGTCATTATTTTCTGCCCTCTGTGGCGTTTGTAGAAACCATCTCCCAAGCCAGCAGCACTGTAAGGAAATTGAGCTCTGGCAAGTTGATCCTGCGAAACACACTCAGCTGTCTGCGTTCAGCTGCTCTCCACAGGCAGCTTTCACAGAGGACTATTGAAGGACAAATGTATGCTGTTGTTACCGAGCAAGAGGTCCGAGGGAGGGGCAATACAATATTTGGCCCACCTAGGGTGCCCAAAACTGCTATACAACAGGGCCCCCCCCCAAAAAAAAAACAAAACAATAAAATCTACTGGGCCCTTCTGTCCGCCGCCAATTGGAAAGACATCTCTTAATGCCAGAGATTTGTGAAAAGGAAACAAAATGTTTATTTAATGCTATTCAGGCCTAATGCCACCACTAAAATAGCAAAGTCCTTTAGGGTATACACCTACACCCACACAGCGCTCCCTTCTCCCACTGTCCCAACTCCGGGTACCGTAAATCAGGAAAAGAGCACACGTCTGTATTGCAGGCTGCTGGCACCGTCAGCTGTGTCACTGTGCAGGCAGGATCTCGAGTTAATCCAAAGTACTGTGGTACCCTCTCATGGTCCACTGGCAAGAGTCCTTTGTACCCAGTTCCAGTCAAAGTCTCTCTTGCTTTTCAGGCCCCGCAGCCAAAGGGAGCACCCCAAAGCCGCGTGGGCCTCTTCTACCAAAGCTGCAGGAGTCCGCACTCCACCAAAAGCATGTGGCTGTCTTCTTCACCTGGCTGCAGGGATCTCCATTTTGGCAAAGCTGCGTGGTTTTTCCTTTTCACCTGGGAAAGTGGGGGTCCGCACCCTGCCAAAACCACATGGCTCCCTCTTTCACCTCACCAAGAGGGAGTCCTCACTCTGCTGAAACCGCGTGGCTCTCTCTCATCTGGCCAAGCGGGGACCCTTCATGTCCTGGAGCCAGTCTTTTTCAAGCTCTCACACAGGCCTTCTCACTCAGGAGTGCAGCCCCTAGTTCCCATCTTGAGTCCTCCTAGTTCCATCCTCAGTCCCCGCTAGTTCCATCTTGAGTCCCCTGCTACTCCCTTCTCCCTCCTGCCTCAGCCCCAAACTTGGCCACTCCTATTTAACATATCTATGAAACCAGTTAAAGGTTATAGATATGTTAAATAACCATTCCAGAGGTTAGCTGCAAAACTGTTGCTATGCAAAACAGCTCTCAATGGCCTTGCTCCATTCGTTTCTTCCCCCTGGGGGGAGGTGTGAGGACATCTTATATGTCTGTCTAATATTCTTATACACTTTGAATTCTGGACACCATTCCAAATCTTTTTTGGGGGGCCCCCCTGGCTGCACCCTGTATCACTGTCACTCAGGACACTTGGAGGTGGAGCTTAGGCACTGCTGATGAGTAGTTATCGAAAGTGAGGCAAGCAACCAGTTAAAAGAGGGCGGCCAATGCATTGCGTCTTCAGTGCTCAATTTGGAAGACAGCTTGTGGGTTAACATGACAGGTATGTGATGTGTTGCTTCCATTAGCGGCTCAGAAATATGTCCGGTTTCGTGAGGGATACCTGTTCTGAGGAAGGTATTGGCCTCCCATGCTGTCAGGAGCGTGGGTGGCTATGTGCCGTGGTGGCGATCCCGAAGGTGCGGTCTTTTCTGTGCGTGGGTGTGTGCAGATGTGAAAATGCGGCCTTCAACATGGGTGCCAGTGTAGACACCTTCGCACGGACGGAAAACCGGAATGATGTGAGTACTTGGAGACATGCAGAGCCACCCTGCCCCGATCACCTTTATGTGGAGTAAATGTGTGCTGCATCTTTCCTGAATCAAAGGACAGGCTTTCCTTGCAAAGTAGCTGCACCATGTCCAGGGTGTACCCCTGGCTCTTGTGGAGCTCACTTCTGCAGTGGAACAGAACCGCAGGGTGTCTTAGAGCATGCCTTTGGTTCACTCCAAATGGTCTCAAGGAGGAATTGGGTCAGGCACACTCATGAAACGCCACCCAACTTCAGAGGCTAGGAGCCAGCGTCTCCAACGTCCTCAGGAGAACCCCACAGATAAGGCATCGGCGTGCTTCAGACGAGATCCGGCACGTTCAGGGTGGAACGGTCATAGATGAGGCATTCACGGATCTCTACAAAAATAAAAATAAAAAAAGGAACTCTTTAAGGAGCTCATAAAATAGGTCCGGTAGACAAGAGTTTATACTCTTTCGCTGCGATTAGAAAAAATGGCATTCTTTTAGAATTGCTGTTTTGGTGAAAAAGTGTACATTTGTTTTGGGACATGCTTAAGAGAGTGGAACATCAATAAACGTGGCTTAAGCCTGGATAGGTCTTGGAAAACTCTCAGTGATAAGCTCACATTAAAAAAAAAATTCAGTTAACTAAAAAGGAATTGTTCATGTGACGTATTAAAGAATATACAATCTAAAATATTCTCATAGGACATAGGTTGTTTCTTAGGGAAACTTTTATGAAACCAAAAAAGATGCTACAGACTCTGTTTTCATCAAATTCTTTCATTTTTCCCCAGTTTTAGTGGGAAGTAAGTGACATCGAACACTCTAGGAGCGATGATTCTTTTTTTTTTTTTTTTATAATGCAAGCCCTTGCATGGCAATCCAAATTTATTGAACTACTGATGCTAAGTTATACAAAATTGCACCACTTTAATTAAGGCTTTTAGTTTACATTTGGCCACCTCTAAGTAGTTGTAACATTAGGTTGGTCAATTTAAATACTGTGGCTCCATGTTGGATAGACACACAATCTTTACACCCAAACGTTAATGCATACAAAGCAACAAGGCATTGTTAAATAAAACAGCAATAGTTACTGCAACTTAGGCCTTGTGACCAATTACACATGATTAAAATTACTTCCCACATTCACAGTAAAAGACTTACCAGCATAAGGTGGTTCCTCTTTAAGTTTAGTAATAATCAGAGCTTCTAGGAGGACTTGCTAAAGATTTATGGGCTTTGCTTTGGCTGGTGTGGCTCAGTGGATTGAGCTTCAGCCTGCGAACCAAAGGGTCCTTCCTTGGTTCGATGCCCAGTCAGGGCACATGCCTGGGTTGCAGGCCAGGTCCCCAGTAGGGGGTGTGTGAGAGGCAACCACACATTGATGTTTCTCCCCCTCTCTTTGTCCCTCCCTTCCCCTCTCTCTGACAATAAATAAAATCCTTAACAAAAAAAGATTCCTGGGCCCCGATCTCAAGGATTCTGACTCTGAACGGCTAGAAGCAGGCCACACATCAGCATTTCTCGTGACCTCCGGGGGATGCCCCTGTTACTGGCCATCCATCACCCCTGCAGGACCAGGCCCTAATGGATGGGCCATGGCACAGATGTGGTGGTTTGTTTTCAGGGATTCAGTTGAACTAAAAATGGCAAGAGATAGCTGAAAATTAAGTCTTATCCTAGATTTTCCAGTTGACTGTTAAACTACATCTTTATTTCAAAACAGGGAGGTTATGCGGAAGCAGACTGACAAAGTCCTATCAGTGTGCGTCCTGAATTCTGCATCGTACCTGTCTGGAATTTCACTGGGCATGGGGTCCTCGTGGAGAAATCGATCACAGGGAGATAGAAAGCGTGTGGATTAGATGGTGATGACCTTATGGGGGCCAGGCTGGGCCAATGTTTAATGACCACCATTGAACTGGACGTGACTATTCATTTTACCAACTTGAACTTGCATTACCTTCCAGTTCTGAAATTCAAATCTCCATGCATATGAATGCTACATTTTCATTTCAGCTATGAGGCCTACCTGCTATTTCCTACTGATTGCTATCTATTTTAATTTTGCTCTATTTACATAATGTACTACAGATCGGAATAAAGTATATATTATACATGTACTTACATATCCTTTATTGCTTCTACAATGCTATTTGTTGCTATCATTGTTATTGAACAGTGGATCTTATGTATTATCTTTCATTAAAATGCATCTATCAACAGTAATGCACGTACCCAAACTTTCATCTGCAAGTCACACCAGATTTATTCAATGTCCTTTTATAGAGTCATTGAACTGGGTGAATGTGAATACCATTTGATTTACGGAGCTAAAGACACAAGTTAACAACAATGTGTGTGCAGAGATACATATGCATGTATATGTCTTCATACGATGTATCTTTACTCAGTTACTTACGGGCCAGTATACAAAACAGTCTCTCTGTGTGGCCGAGAGGAAACCAAGTTAGATTTAGAGTTGGTCAGAAAAGCAAAGTCGGGTGTGACGACCGCCTTAAAGAAGTATTTCTGATGCCAGTGGCTGGCACCCGTTGTCCTCTGGGTCCCCTCCCCACCGGGCGCCTCTTCAGCTGCGTTGAAACGCACATTTCTGCGCCTGCCCTGCCTGCCCGGAGCAAAGCGGCTGCCCCGCACCCCGCCGGGCACAGCTGAGCCCTGCAGGGGAGAAGGAGGCGGGGGGATGGGGGGGCACAGTGGGCTCTTGCCTCTCAGCTGGTCTCTCATGCCTGTTGTCTTGTCACCCTTGCTGTCCGCCCGCAGTGCCTGGAGCCCTGCAAGGAGTCTCGGGACCTGCGGAGGGAGCCGTGCCAGAGCTTCTGTGAGGTAAGCAGCACCGGGGACCCTGTGCCCCTGCACCCGGGTGCACAGCTGCCACTGACCGGGACGCAGTGGGCCTGCAGTGCTTCTGCAGCCTGGGCGTTTACTGTGTGTGTGTGTGTGTGTGTGTGTGTGTGTGTGTGAATGCACGTGCAAAGGAAACCAATGCTTGGGCCTTCTGTGGCTTCTGTGGCCGTTCAAACAGGCCCAGAAAAGCCTGTCACCTCGGTTGCAAGCACGACACCCCAGCCACCACCACACAGACACACACAGGGAGGTGACCGCGCCACGGCGTGACCCCGAGGGGCTCACTCAGGGCGTCTGTACTGCCGACAGCAAATGGGAAGAAGTGAATGAGGCCCCCCGAACACGTCCAACAGAGCAGGGGCTCAGAGGTAAAAAACCAGCACCGATGACTGAGGGCAGAGACAGGGCAGCGAGGCGGTCGCCTTGGCCGTGGTCGGTAAAGCACTCCCCTGTGAGAAGAGAATTCTTTGTCTTCTATTCTGTTGCTAAAGATTTTTTAAATGTAGTGATGACCCAGAGAGAGAGAGAGAGACAGTGACTTGTTGTTCCACTCACTGCTACATGCCTTCATTGGTTGATTCTTGTATATGCCCTGATCCGGGACCAAACCCATGGCCTTGGTGTATCAGAACAACGCTCTAGCCAGTGGTGCTACCCGGCCAGGGCTGTGTTCTGTGTAGTCTGTACACAAACCATGCATCTACGCGAACTAACAAACACCACTGTAGAGTCTTGGCAAGCAAGCAGGGGCCATGGTATTTCCTCCGTAAACCCACTGTTGTCATTTAAGGTCAGTGACTGTGGGCTGGCGCGATTATGTTTGGTCCCTGAGAAGGGAGCTATCCCTGAAGCCCGTTTGAAACCTTTGTCCCTGGACATCCCAGGGAGATGGCCGCTCTCTCTGTGATCACCGTGAGGTCGTCTGGACTCCCTGTGGTTTGCTACAGTAGGACTTGTGTGCAAAGTGTGATCTGCTCTGGCAGGAAGTGTGAGTTGCACCTCAAAGCCCGGGGAACGCAGAGCCGAGCTCATGTGAGCAACTTTGCAAAGAGACGTCACTCAGGGCTCCATGAGCTCCCGTCTCGATGCTCAGTGTGCTTTGATCGCTGTTATGTCTCTGTGCACATTCTTCATTGGCTGGCTTCTCTCTTGTCTTGAGGTATGTGTCTGACCATCCTGTTGCAACAAAAGGAACCCTGAAAAATCCGATCCCTGTCTGAGCATTTTTAGGGCACATCATTCACCGAGACAGGCCTAATGTATTCGGTCATCGCCTTGGGGATGAAGAATGCACGCGAGGTCTAGGTGACCAAGAAGCCAAGCTTGCCTGTGGTGACGGTGACACTTGCGTGTTGGTGGCGAGTGCCTTTTTTATCCAAATTTCCCTTTTCACTCGGGGTTTATGGCAGTCATAGCATGGAAAGGCTTCAAGGAATGATCATGACGTTTTATTGCTGTTAGCAGATTTCCTTCATCTGTCATCGTATAGAGGAGATGATCCTCATTCCATCCCATTTTGTGTCCCAATATCAAACGTTAAAGTCTTGGAGAATGTAGTTCCTGAATGTATCAAGAGCATCAAAGAACTTTGTAAGGTCGTCCGATAATTTATGGACTAGGTAGAAAATGTTCTCGGTGGGATGCAAGCTTTTCTTTTTTCCGTCTTTAATAGACTCAATTTTCATCGAACTTCTATGTGCCTCTGAGGAGGATAGTATTATAGGAGACTCAGCTGGGGGGCAAATGATGAGTTTTGGAGATTTGTAAGTGGCTGGGATGGAATGATCAAAGAGCTATCTTGTCTGAGAGGAGTCTGGGGCATATCATGGAAAATACTGCCTTTGAGTGAGAGGCAAAGATGCCCCTTGGTCACAGGGTACATTAGGTAAACGAGGGCTGTTCGGATCGAGGCCCCCATGCTGGAATTCTGTGACCCGTCTGTGGGAACCGCACTTACTTGGAGAGTCCCACAGAGTTTTGTAGTGTGGACATGACTAGCAGCCCAGCTTCTATGGAGCCATTGGAGTCCATGTGTAAACTACAGGGGAAGACATACAAACCAAACGCACACGGCTCTTTGTAGAAGGTCCAGCTCCCTCTCTAAGCTCACCCTAGTGGGACAGCAGGCAGGTCAGGGGCTCTCGTTCTAAGGAAGTGATGTTTGCGTCCTTCTTTCCTGGGACGGCGTGGCTGCCATTGGTGCAGAGAATCTTGCTGGCAGTGTGAGGCGGGAGAGGCTTGCATAAAAATCCCACATTTCTAGGGATGAGTCTATCTCCGTGCACAGGCGGGAGGGCTGTTCCTTCTGCAGAGGCAACTCAGGATGCAAATGGCTCTGTCCGGGTTCGTCCTGTGCACAGATCGCTGGGATCCTGCGAAAATGCGACTTCAGACTCAGTCGGTGTGGGCACACATCTGCATGTCCAATGGGGACATGTGGGCGCTACGGGGCCAATGACCACCCTTGACGTGGCAGTCTCTGGGTGTCCCCCTTTTGGCATTGGGGTTCCCCGTCAGGCTGTCACTTTCAGTTGCCTATTAATCCTGTGAAGTCCTTGGTCTTTCTTCCGTGATACTCTATAGACAGAAAATATGCAATTCTGATAATGATGGAAAATAAGAGATGGAAATGGGTCTCAAAAGTGAGTGTTGGCCGGCGTGGCTCAGTGGGTTGGGCATCGTCCTGCAAAGTGGAAGGTCGCCGGTTCAATTCCTAGTCACAGCACATTCCTGGGTTGTCCATTCAGTCCCCACTCAGGGTGCATACGGGAGACCACACATGAATGTTTCTCTCTCATTGTGACGTTCCCCTCAATGCCCCCCTCTCTCTTTCTTTAAAAAAAAAAAAAGTCTTTCATTTGCCTGGGAACCAAGCTAAGTGTAATCACATCTAATAAATTAGTGTGTGTCGCTGAGTTTCCAAGCAGATGATAATTGCATTTCCGAGCATAAGTCGGGAACATTTGAACTGAGAACTATTTCTGCCAATTTCATGCATACTTCGCATTTAGATGCTGCCTTTGAGTGGATCCAGCTGGCAATTTTGATTTATTTAAAATAGTATCATGTCTTTATTTTTGTATGCATTCTCTGTACACATTTAAAAACTTTAACGAACACCACAGGAGAGTGAAAGCCAACCATTATTTCCAATTCTGGACCCAGAATAGCCACAGGTACCTGGGCATGACAGCTACCGTAGCAACCTCAGACTGCTGTGCTTAGAAGTTCGACTTCATAGGTGAGCCCTCAGCTGCCGTCCGGAAAGTTAGATTTCGGGAGGACCCCAAAACATTCCTTACCCTGTGTCTGCTGGACGCCTGCTCTTCTCCTGGGACTTTGGCCTTTGGAAAACAGAAGGTGCATCTGTGAGCAGCCCCCGGTAGTGACTCTGCCCATTGTGTGTCTATTAAGTCTCCTGGTTGATAGCACCCCAGCTTGTGGCTGGAAGAACCCGGCACATGTCGGGGCTCCACCAGGCACTGACTCTCAGCGGCGGCCCTGGGCTCCCCCGGCCCGACTCCTTTCCCCACACCTTCCCCGCCCCCCGATTGTCCTTAGCACATTTGCGCTGCAGAAAATGACAGCTACATGCTCGGTGCTGTGAGACCTGCTAGGAAGTGACTGAATGGGGGGGGACATTCTTGGGGACCCCAGGGTACTTGCCACTCGGCAGACATTTCCGTACACAAGCAGGGTTTCATCATGCTGGAAGTTTAACATCACAGGAATGTAACAGAAGAAAGAGAAACCTCCAAATTTTAAGGGGAGAAGGAGATATGGAAAATACTACGAGGTTGAAATAATAATGTTTGAAATTTTGCGTTTGTTTTATTATTTACTCATGTCCTAAAATGAAGTTCAAAGTCAGGCCCTCCAAGGCGTTTCTTCTGCTACTAATTCTACCTGCCAATGTCTCTAAAATTATTTAATTTTTAGTTTCAAGACACAAATTCTCTTCCTTAACCATAATTCCGACCTTATTCAATATCAGCTTTTTATTTATGTGAATGGTAAAGTGATTAATCATTTATGCCGATTTCTTTTTGTGTGGCTTTTGAAATTTGAGCATGTCTTTGTTTTTGAAAAGGAGTCCAAAATATCATTTTCTTTGAAATGGTCTGTGACAAACTTTGTCTGTTATTATACCCAAATTCCAGGTGAATGGCTCAGAATTTTTTTTTCTCATAGAAGTATATGCGTGTGTGTGTGGGGCTTCACCAGCAGAGCCCCCCTGGCCACCACGGAGGAGAATAAGTCTACCAAGACATGATCTGCTTGGGGAGAAAAGGTGGCCGATCTCTCTCTCAAAAAAAAAAAAAAAAAGGGACAAGAGCCTGTTCCTCAATGGGCTTTTATTGGGTTCATTTTGCACAGGAATCCAGGTAAAGCTCATCAATCATTGTCAGTCAGTAAGGATCAAACAATAGACAACATACAAAGAACTAGGAGGGCTTATTCTGAGTCAGGCTCTGTTAGCTAAAGGGCTACAAAAATGTGGGAAACAAACTCATTTCCTGCTTGGACCCTTATCAGAAAATTGAGGGCATTCTTAGAATAGCAGGTTTGACAGGATTTTATGCATTCTTTCTTGGGCCTGATCACTTCAGGGAGCCTGCCCATTCCTGCCCGGGGCTGCACCACCCTCTGGCATTATTTCAGGCTTAAGTCAGGCAGGGAAGTAAGGTAGCCGAGAGATTAGAAGATTCCTTGCAGACAGAATGAGGTCTCAGGCTTTGTCAAAGCTGAGGGGTGGGGGTCCATCACCCTCTTGCTTTATAGGCCCCCATGCCCTTCCCTGAGGGTCCCCTCATGACTGTGCCTGTCTTAGGTCGTCCCTCCCTTGAGGAATCTTACCCGTCACTGGCTAACCAGTCATCTGCTGGGGCTAAGCAGGGTGAAGTAAAAGGGGGCAGAGGCAGTGTCCCTGTCAGGGAGATAAGCTTTGTCTCCTTAGTGGCTTATGGTCCCAAGGTCTC